CCGTTACCGGCGCCACCCACATTCCGCTGTCGCGCCCGGCGCCACCACATGCTGTTGCCCCGAATTCGGCGCCACCGACCCCGAAGCGCGCCCGGCTCTGGGTACGTCCACATACACCATTTGACTGCTCACCGGTGCAGCGCTCAACCTGCCACGCTCTGCATGCACAACATTGTGTTGTGCCGGGTCCCACCACACTTCATGCACTTCCGTTCTCTAAACTTACACCTGTTAGCAACGTGACCGCTCCCAAGGCACTTGAAACAAGCCCCACTTCTCTCAACCATCATACGTCTCTCTTCTACAGCAGCAGAAACGAAATTTCCGCACCCGACAGTTCTGTGAGGACCACCACAGGCGGCACAATGCAGCCCTGCACCTAGCTGCTGCCGACCGCCATTCTGGCCGCCATCACCGCCCCCACGCTGACCCCTGGCCGGGCAATCACGCTTGATGTGCTCGGTAGACCCACACGAGAAACACTGCCAGTCCTTCGGGATACTCCGCCCGTTAATGCCAGGCCCCGTCCCTTCCCCGACCCCCTCCCCCCACCCTCCATCGTAAACGTAGCAACAGACCTCAGATGAGCCCAGACGCTCTGCGGCTCTTGTTGTTTTAAAGGGGGCTTATGTCGGGGTTGCGAGCTGACTTGACTGGAAACAACTGGCTGCAATTCACTGCAACTGCAGTGCTTAGGTCGGTCGACTGCGACACGAGTGCCTGCGACTGGCCGCCACTAGTTGCTCGAAATAGAACAGTGGGCAACTGGACGCAACTAGTCGCTGCCGATCGCTTCCAGTTGCTCGAAATCCAGTTGCTTCGAGTCGAGTCGGCTCGCAAGCCCGACATAAGCCCTCCTTAAGATTACTCTCCACCTTTTGCACGGGTATTGCTCTAATGAAGATTAAACGTTTGTTGACGAATGATTTATTTATAGAGGAGATATATCTCTATGCTCAAGCCAAAAAAATTCATGAAATTTCCAGCACCTAATTACCTCCGCCAAGGGGTTGGCAGGAGGTTATGTTTTCACCGGTGTGTGTTTGTTCGTTTGTGTGTTTGTTGGTTTGTGGGTTTGTACGTTTGTTTGTTTGTGTACAGCCTAACTAAAAAAGTTATGGACGGATTGTCATAAAATTTTCAGGATAGGCCAGAAATGGGCTAACTTAGAATTGATTAGATTTTGGTGGTGATCCAGATCCAATTAATTAATTAATTAATTAATTAAGAAAATTTTAACACAATTTGAATCAAGTATAAGCTTATACATATTAAAAGTAGAAACAATTAAGAACCTATTTAAGAACCTTTTGAGCCTAATTTTTCAGTAAGCACCATTTACATAAGAACATATTGAGGCTAACTTGGAAAAATCTATGTTCTTATACGCGGGGTTTTTACTGTATAGCGAACGGAGCTTTGTGAAACGCGCCCAGTTTTTACGTTTAGTGTCGTCTAGCTTGTACAATATGTCTTGCACTTGTCGTTAGAACTGTTTTTTTTATTGTACTGACGGCGAGGAGCTTGCAAGCGCATGTTGATATATATTTTACCAATGTACCGTTTTTAAACAAACAAACAAATAAATAACTAATTCATGCAGTGAGTTAGTCACAAACCCCGCCAAACGGTGGCACTGCTATATCTGTTACCTAGCAACCATTTTGTTACCCAATCACCGCCTAGAGTTCCGCGTTCCTCGTTTGGAATTCTATCTGTCGTAAGAAGATGGAATCTATTATCTTCCAACCATTTTAGTTGTGTGTTGGAATCTATTCACAAAGATGTCCCCGACGGACGTTACTGTGTTTGGGACAATATCAGAGATATCGAAGAAAGGATATCTTTCACCTGAATGGCCTCTTGTTAGGCACTGGCAGAACTTTGTAGGAATATGTGTGTTGGTGACCTGCTGTTTGGATCCGTTTATATTCGCCTTCGACACATCGCAGCCCCTTCTCTGGGGAATCGCATACTTTTTGGACGCCGTAGTGCTCATCGATATAGTTTCGCAATTTTTTACAGCATATAATAACAAAGGAAAATGGGTTACTGACTTGAAATCTATTCGTAAACACTACATGTGGGCAGTTGGTGCGCCTTTCATGTTCTCGCTAGATATAGTTTCGTTGCTGCCAATCGAAGCTCTAGCGCTTGCTCTCCCTGCCACCTACAGAGCATGGTCTGGTTTAAGACTTAATCGGTTAATACGCTTTTACCGAGTTGGTAGCCTACTAGGTAAGCCAGAACAACTTTAGGTGCAAATACACTTTATGACGTCCAGTATGGCGGCGCAGTATGGGGGCGCCTAACCCTAACCCTAACCCTAATTCTAACCCTAACCCTAACCCTAACCCTAAACCTAACCCTAACCCTAACAATAACAGTTGTTAGGGTTAGGGTTAGGCGCCCCCATACTGCGCCGCCATACTGGACGTCATAAAGTGTATTTGCACCCAACTTTATACTATAAACTTAGTAAGCCACGACTAAGTCTTTTGAGTTTGAGCCTAACTTAACAGACTTGTTATACTTTACGTATACTAATTTAGTAATTACTACTACTAGTACTAGTAATGGTAGTATAAGTATCTAAGTTAACTTATACTTATACTTATAGGCCTACTTATAGTACAACAAAAACATTTGTTTAGAAATTCTAAATTAGAATGAAAAATTGATTGAATGTGGTGGATTGCCAGAAATACAAAACGTGTGAAATAGTTTTTGAGATTAAAATTTAATATATTTGGTAGTTATGACATGTTTTGTCTCAACTTTTAACATCTGAAAATTGGTGGTGTTTGTTAAATGCAGACTAATATTAATGACAGTTTTGCCTCATTGGTCAATCAGCATGCATGAACCTAGTGATCGAGTATGTAACATTCAAAAGTCACGCTATATATACGTGGCGCTATCGTCAAACACTATCATAAAGTCGGCTGTGACCAGTGATTGAAGCACACTGGTGGTGTGACGTCAGCATTTATGAGTCACTAGGCCTAATTAGTAAAATATTTTTTTAAGTCCATGCATGCAAGTGCAAAATTCTACAGACTGGTTGACATGCTATGCAATTTCTCGAAAGATATATAGGTTAATCTGTCACAATGAGTTGTAAATGTGACACATCTCATGTCATTCACCTGAATTTGTGGTTTGAATTGTCATAGTTTGTAAGCAGTTTCAGGGTTCTTGTTAACTTTTGACAAAGCAGGTAATTTGACAATGAATAGCAGGTAACTGTTTTTCCGGCACGGACGATAGGGCGAGCGGCGAAGGCGCGAAGCCCTGCTAGGGGGGTCCGTGGGCATGCACCCCCGGAAAAAATTTCTGATTTGACCCACAAGTAGCCTATTTTGATGGGTATGGGTTCTAGAATTTGGTAGTTTAGATAGGAAAATATATGCTATTAAGTATCTATTATAAAAAGAAAAACCCGCCCGTGCACAGAGTTAGTCTTGGGTTGGAAGTATTTAAAATAAACTTCGTTTTTTCAAATATGTAATATTTTACCGCCTTTAGTGGGAGTTTCTCTCAAATTGATAGCCGGTAACAAATTGCGCGATAGGCGGTAAAAATAACCGGTTACCGGCTATTAACAAGAACCCTGAGTTTTGTGATCTGTGGAATTGAGGATCCTATTTTCAATCTTCTTTGCTATTGAATTTTGGGCTGATATGTTCTATTATGTCATCTGTACGTTTAATACAGTCACAGTTTATGAATTGATTATAATGATAACATTGGTTTTTGATGTGCAGCAATCAGAGAAGAAGAATTGTCCTCAGACACATCACACGTTCGTTTCATGCGATATGGAGTGATGTGCTTTGTGACCATGCATTGGTTGTCATGTGGATGGAATATGCTCGCCTGCCTCCCTCTTACACCATTTGATGGCATCTCCTGCTATGCTGACACTTGGGCATCAAGTGTAAATGGTAATATAGAAATTAGATCACAGATTGCTAATTGGCGGTTAATTACACATGTCGTGAGTGGCCCCAATGTACAGGTAAACTTGATCAGTTTAGTGACCTACAGATCAAGCTGTAAAAACACAACATGACAGTGTTTCGATTGGCAAAAGTAAACAAGCTGGAAATTAAGGCATGTCAATTAGACAATTAAGGCACGTCCGAGGATTTATAAGATGTTGCAGGGGTCGAAATAAGCGATGGTTCGATGGTCCGGGCCATATATATACGCTCTATATTTCTATATTTCTCCATATTTCCTTCTTTATACGCTCTTGGTATTACTATCCATTGAAAATGCTCAAGTGACCCATCTTTCAAGGTAATTGAGTAGCAGGGTTATATTATAGAGCATCAGATTTTGAAATTCAACTTCATGTTTGAGTTGTTTATAGTTATATGTTTCAAAAGCATTTCTTTAGCTGTTTTAACTTTTATTATTTTCAGGTTCCGAAGATCTTATGAGCACAGGGGAAAGATATATTAGGTCACTATACTGGGGATCTGCAACAGTTACATCAACAGGGTACGTTTTACAAAGCTGTTAGAATGAATGCAGATACACAAAATCTGCTGACAAGGGGCCGTTCACAGTTATTACAGTATCATAGTCATTGAGGCCATAAGCTGTATTAGGTGAGGCAACCGACAGCTATTGTTAACTTTTAAACGTACAAATAAATGTCAAGTCATACATTCCTGCCATCTCTTATAAATTCTGAATATTTTGTACATTTTGGATGGGGTGTGAAAAATTGTATAGTCACTATACAATTTTTCATACCCCATCCAAAATGTACAACTATTAGTGTGTATGCTTGTAATAATAGTAATAATTGTGAACGACCCCAAAACGATTCTCTTAGCTAACTGGCTAATGTCACTCATAGTCATAATGATTAGGCGTAAGAAAAAAAGATGTTTGTTTCCACTAACAAGCTGAAAAAAATTGGACATGGTAGGCTGGCAAACCTTTTTTTATCAATTTTTTTTGTATTCTAACCATACTTGTTTTATACTTATAACAGCCCATATAATGACTTCAAAGTCAAATCAATGCATTCACCGATCGATATCACGTTGGGATTTTTTTCTTACGAAAATCTTCTTTCTTTTTTTTGCCGATCACAATAAAAAGTTTCGACACGGCGGTTTTAAATGGACTTCGTCGGGTTAGCGGAAACAAACGTCTTTTTTAGGCCTTTTAATACTAATTTATTATTAATAAAGTCTTATTCATGCACTTTATTTGTTTAAAGAGCAAAAGTACTCTGCATTGCTTGGGGAAAGCGGGAATATGAAACTGTGTAGTGTTTGTAGTTTTAATTGGCAAATCTTATCTAGAGTGATCCTATACATTAAAATAATGGTAAATTAGTCTAATACTAATAACAATGTTATGTGGCTATAGATTTTGTGCAGTTTTTTAATGTTTTATTTAGTGCTGATGGAACTTGCATACCATCATATGTGCATCAGTGATTGTTAATGTTATTTTGCAGTTATGGTGAGCTTTCTGCTACAAACCTTGAAGAACGGTGGTTTGCTGTATTAACCATGCTGGCTGGGATATCCGTGTTCTTTGGCATGTTATTGGGTGGATTGACTTCTATGCTTACCAACTTGGACAGTCAGCGAGCCACATATGTACACAGGCTCCAGTCTGTCATGGATCAAATGGTTTGTTATTCATAGTTTAAAGAATAGCGCTACTCCAGCTTTCACTATCATTTTATTTTAACTAAGCTAGTGCTTAGTGCTAAACTAGGTTTTTTTTTTTAAATCCTGATACATGTGTTGTGGCAACATACTGTTGTCTTCCACCCCAGCACCTTATACTCATTTACTGTATTCGTAAATAAATATTTAGTATAATTTCTATAGCACTTGATACTAGTATATCTAGTAATGACTATTCTTTTAGATATTGTAAATGTGACTATTTGATTCTTTATTAAAGTTGTCTTGGGAAGAACATTTCAGTTAGCTTCATACAAATCATTCTTGTTTACAGAAAGAGTTGCGGATAGCTAAAGACCTCCAGAACCTTGTTTCGGGTTACTATAACTACATGTGGATCAGTAAGATGGGTGTACAACAAGATGATATTTTTGCACAACTGCCACTTTGTCTTCAAGCGGAGGTTTCTCGTACAACCAACAGAAGTGTGCTGGAAAAGGTATTTATCTTCACTGTTTAATTTTAAACATCAGGACTCATAGTGTGCATAACATGGTGAGTGTGTGTATGGTAATATTTAATAAAGTCTCACATTCATTTTTAGCTCATCTGACATAGTCAGATGCAGCTTGTAGAATCGCTTGATCGTCCGTCCGTCCGTCCGTCCGTCCGAGCGTCCGTCAACAGTTGGGCACAAATCTTAACCGCTCGACGTACGGTCACGATATTCGGCACATTGGGGGGGATCGTCAAAACGAGTTGGGATGTCGAAGCTGGGGGTCAAAGGTCAAAGGTCAAGAGGTATAAAAGAAGGGGGAACATTCACTCCTTAACTTATAGGGAGGAAATGCAGAATTGCGGCACAAATCTAAATGGCTCGACCTAGGCTCGTGATAGTTGGTGTATAGCATCATGGTAGGAAAAGCCATCACTGTGCCGAAATTGGAGGTGACAGGTCAAAGGTCAATGGGCACAGTGCAGATTTTAGACATTTTCTGAGGACATGGTCTGACGGAGCGATTGAAAAACTTTTTTGTTTCAGCGGTGACCTAGCATTTTTATGGCATTATTGAAAGGACCATGAAATCTACTTTTTGTTGACATGCGAAGAGTAAGTGTCAGATAACCTTTTGACCCTCAAGAGGAGGGTTAAACTTGGATTTGTTGACTGTCTGTTAGAAAGAATTTGACTGCTGGGTTTGCTAGTAGAATCTATACATGCCTGGATGTATGAGACTACAATGTCACAGTGAAATTTCAAAAGCTAAATTTGGTTAAAGAAGGTGTATGTTCCTTAAATCGTATAATTTCTATGGCATTCTGTACCAACAGTATGTTACATGTAACGTTTCCTATGCCACTGCCAGTGGCTTTGGCTGCCAGTGCATGTGTTGCCGCTGCAGTTTTGCCTGCGTTTAAATTGCGTTACAGGTCGCAGCTCTCTATTGGCAATTCTGCCAGCCTGGTAGGCTTGGGCGTAGGTAAATGGATGGTTGACCTTACCTTTCTTCTTGCAAAATACGTTGTTGCTACCCTACGGTACGATGAGCAGCTTCCATCTCTTAATCTTGAAGACCCACCTTGAAACGTACTACGCGCGCAGTCTCCGTGTCAACTTTCCTAACGATCCAACGACAACATTCCTTTTGAGAAGGTCCTGATACCATCCCTGTGATTCCACTTCTTCGGCCGTGTATGTGCACCACATTCTGCCCAATTCCCCCGCCGCGACTAACGGTTACTGAATCCCCACCACTCCACCACAGAGTCACCGCACCAGTACGACGTTGATGAGCGCTGCTTCGCCTCCGCCCGGCACTGCTTTACTGATCTGGGCAGGTCTGGTCTAACCTTAGTAACCTGATTGTCCTTTGCAAAACTATATGGAATCACACTTTGTTCACACGTACCGTTTTCTGCTCATCTGACGATACGGTCAGATCGCAGCTTAGTAGAATCGCTGGATCGTCCGTCCGGGTTCGGTCCGCCGGTCGTCCGTCAACAGTTTGGGCACAAATCTTAACCGCTCGACGTCGGTCGACCGAATATTCGGCTCCTTCCGCGGGGCGCGGACGTCAAAACCGGTCCGCCGCTGGGACTGTCGAAGCGGGCGGGTCAAAGGGTACAAAGGGGTCAAAGAAGTGTAAAAGAAGGGGAACATTCACTCTGTAACTTAAGTATAGGGAGGAAATGCAAAATTGCGCACAAATCCTAAACGGCTCGACCTAGGTCCGTGCATAGCCTCGGTTGCTATCAGCATCCATGGGTAGCGAAAAGCCTATCACTGTGCCCGAAATTGGGGTCCACAGGGTCCAGAAGTATCAATCGGGCACAGGGTCAGATTTTTAGACATTTTTCTGCCTACATCGGTCTGACGGAGCGTGAAAAACTTTTTTGTCCTTCAGCGTGTGAACCCTTACCATTTTTTATTTGGCTTTATTTAAAGGACCATTGAAATGTCCCTTCTGCTGATCATTGCCCGAAGAGTAAGTGTCTTTGCTCGAGATAAACCTTTTGACCCTCAAAGAGGAGACCTCGGCGGCCCGCCCCGTCCCCCCAGGTCCGGCTCTCTGCCGACAACCCCGCCGCCCGCCCTGCGCCGCGCTGGCCCGTTCAAACATGCAGATTTGTGACTGCATTTAACCACAAGGCAGCTGAACTGCTTTTGCTATTAGAGCCCCCTCCTGCCACCCTCCCACCTCCCCCTTCCCCCACCGCCCCACTCCCCCTTCCCCCTCAGTCGCCCACCTCTCCCCCCGCCCCTTCCCCGACCCCCTCCCCCCACCCCTCATCGTAAACGTAGCACACGACCTCAGATGAGCCCAGACGAACTTCTGCAGGCTTCTGTTGTTTTTAAAGGGGGTTATGGTCGCGCTGGTTGCGGAGCTGACTTTGACTGGAAACAACTGGACATGCAATTCACTTTTACCGCAACTGCCAGTGCTAGGTCGGTCGACTCGCGACACGACGTCGCCTGCGAACTGCGCGCCGCCCACTAGTGCTCGAAATCAGAACATGTGGGCAACTGACGCACAACTAGTCGCTGCCGCATCGCTTTCAGTTGCCGTCGAAATCCAGTCTGCTTCGACGTCGAGTCGGCTCGCAAGCCCGACATAAGCCCCTCCTTTAAGATTACTCTTACCACCTATTTGCACGGGTATTGCTCTAATGAGATTAACGTTTGTTGGACAATGATTTATTATATAGAGGAGACCTATATCCCTCTTATGCCTCAAGTCCAAAAAAAATTCATGAAATTTCCAAGGCACCTACGATACTCCGCCAAGGGGTTGGGCAGGAGGTTATGTTTTCACCGGGAGCGCCACCGTTGCTGTGTTATGTTCGTTTGCTGTTTTTGTTGGTTTGTGGGTTCTGCCTACTTTTGTTTGTTTGTTGTACAGCTAAACTAAAAAAGCTTATGGGACGGATTTTGCCATAAAATTTTCAGGATAGGTCAGAAATGGGGTAACTTAGAATTGATTACATTTTGGTGGTGATCCGGATCCAATTAATTAATTGATTAAATTTTCAGGATAGGTCAGAAATGGGGTAACTTAGAATTGATTACATTTTGGTGGTGATCCGGATCAAATTAATTAATTAATTAATAAAATTTTCAGGATAGGTTAGAAATGGGGTAACTTAGAATTGATTACATTTTGGTGGTGATCCGGATCCAATTAATTATGTAATTCATTAATTAATTAATAAAAATTTTCACGTTGAGAGAATTCAGCTGCCTTGGCAGAGGTCTGCGCTCTCCGAGTGCTCTAGTTGTATTTATGTTACCACACAAATTTTGAATTTTTAGCTGAGCTGACGAAGTCGGATGCAGCTTGTAGAATCGCATGAGCGTGCTTCAACAGTTGGGCACAAATCTTAACCGCTCGACGTACGGTCTTGATATTCGAGACGTCGGGGGGGGGGGGGGGGCGAAAAGGTCTCGGGATGTCGAATTTGGGGGTCAAAGATCAAGATGTGTCAATGGAGGGGGAATATTTCCCCCTTATAACTTAAGGTATAGGAGGAAATACGAAATTGCAGCAAAAATCTCAACGGCTTGACCTACGCTCTTAATATTCGATGTATAGTGTGATGGGGAGGAAACCCATCACCAGCGCGAAATTGGAGGTCACCGGTCAAAGGAAAGTGGGGGAAAGGTTAGATATCACACATTTTCTGAGGACATGGTCTAACGGACCGAGTGAAAAACTTTTTTGTTTCAGCGCTGACCTACCATTTTTAGCTCATCTGACGAAGTCAGATGCAGCTTGTAGAATCGCATGAGCGTCCGTCCGTGATCCGTGTGTCCGTGTGTCCGTCAACAGTTGGGCACAAATCTTAACCGCTCGACGTACGGTCACGATATTCGAGACGTCGGGGCCGGGGGATCGTGAAAAGGACTTGGGATGACCAATTTGGGGGTCAAGGGTCAAAGGTCAAGATGTGTCAATGGAGGGGGAATATTTCCCCCTTAACTTAAGGTATAGGAAGAAATACGGAATTGCGGCACAAATCTGAACGGCTCGACCTATGCATAGTGTCATATTGGTGTATAGTGTGATGGGCAGGAAACCCATCACCAGTGCGAAATTGGAGGTCACAGGTCAAATGGCAGTGGGGGAAAGGTCAGATATCAGACATTTTCTGAGGACATGGCCTAATGGACAGAGTGAAAAACTTTTTTGTTTCAGCGCTGACCTACCATTTTTATCACTTTATTGAAAGGACCATGAAATGTGCTTTCCACTGACGTGCGAAGAGTAAGTCAGTGTCTGATAACCTTTTGACCCTCAAGAGGAGGGGTAAACATGAATTTGTTGACTGTTAACAAAGGACTGTTCACTGCTTTTGGTATTAGAGCAGTGATTGCGAAGTGATTGGCCAATTTAGTATCACACCCCTGAAATTCTTAATATTATTGTATCCCTCGCGACGAAGTCGGCGGGGATACTATGGTTTCATGTCTGTCCAGCCGCCGCTCGCCTCCGCAGACACTCCCTTCCGCTCTATAACTCGGCCCTTAATTCACCTAGCACGACCAAACTTGGTATACTTACATATCTTGGGGAGAAGGCATGTCGCGTAGCAAAACCAGGTCACTGCGACCTTTATTTGACCTTGACCTTGACATTGATCATATTTCCCTTACGCTCTATAATTCGGTCCCTAATTGACCTAGCGCGACCAAACTTGGTATATAATACTTACGCATCTTATGGACAAGGTGTGTCGCGTACCAAAACCAGGTCACTGCGACTTTTATTTGACCTTGACCTTGATCATATTACCCTTCCGCTCTATAACTCGATCGGCCCTTAATTGACCTAGCGCGACCAAACTTGGTATACTTACACATCTTGGGGAGAAGGTGTGTCGCGTACCAAAACCAGGTCACTGCGACCTTTATTTGACCTTGATCATATTTCCCTTCCACTCTATAACTCCACCCCTAATTGACCTAGCGCCTGCTACTCAGCAAAATTAAAGGGTTGAAGGTACCGTGTTGATGTAGGAATACGGAGATATTTCATTAATACTAGATCGCGGGGGATACATGTAGTTGGCGACAACTGCAATTTCTAGTTAAGTTTCATTTTCTGTTATTCTGTTGAGTAGTAAACTTTCAGTTCCAAAATGCCAAACTAACTGCACTCGTTTATATATGGGTATAAATGTAAAGTAGAATTTTGAACTTAATAAAATGGTACTTACAATTGTATTTTACAGGCTTCCATTTTCAAAGATATTGATGAGGGATTTTTGAGAATGTTGTCGCTTAACATCCACCAACAGCTGTACTTGCCAGGCCAGGTTATCATTAGCCGTGGCGACACTGCTCATTCCTTGTTCTTTGTCCATCGTGGAACATTGGAGGTATTATGCCGATAGGGCATGGTCAAGTGGATTTATTATTTATGAGCTCATCACTTTTTTTGAAGTTGAGGCGATGAGAACATTATATCATCTATTAATATTTCCTACTTTGAATATACGTGCAAAAGTCTTGGGTGTAATATATATCACAATTAGCAATTGGATTTCAGCAAGTACAATAGTAGAACCAGTAATAAATCAAAAATATAAATATAAATTATATCAGTTGATAACATATATTGTTTAGATGGTAACAAAGCCCAATTTATTGCACTTTTGATTTGGTCACATTTATATATGGCAATAACACAATCGTCAAATAAATTAACAGAAAAGACATTGGAGTAGTGTTACATAACTATACGAAAAAATAGGAATTGTAACACGTTAGGTTAGTTGTCATATATTGCATTTCCTCTGAAAATAATAAAGTGGTTCTTTTTGCAATTATTTGCCCAAGAATTTCTTGTACTAATACCTAGCAATTTAAAAATGGATGTTTTGCTGTTTGTCAAGTATATGGCATATAGTGTAGCAATATTATGATTTAATTAGTGTATAAACGAAATTGCATATGCAATGTGTTTACACGTACTTATGCTTATTTTAAGGTACTGTCAGATAAAGACGACGAGACGCCAGTTGCTACACTCCGTGAGGGTAAAGTGTTTGGTGAGGTATGAAAAATGTGTATGGTCAAAATAATAATTGCAGTTATAGTTCATCATAATTACAATAACCAATAAAATGACGATGTGTATTTTGCTACACTATATAGTTAGCACAAAAATTGTACAGGTGTTACAGTTGCTTTATATAGAAACTGCTATTCATGCATCTATTGAAAGTCATTTACCTGAAATACTATAGTGTCTATAGTGAATATTTGTATTTTCCTAACTTACTGTTTGACACCTAATTTTCTTTATCTGATTTAGGTAAGCTTGATTTTCTCCTTACCACGATCAGCTACAGTAAGAGCTATTACCCACTGTGAACTCATGACCCTAGAAAAGGTTAATGTTCAGAAAGTTCTCGAATACTATCCTGAAGGTAAACTAACTATACCATGTTTACTAGAAAATCATTTTGTGCTTTTTATATGTTTTTATTTCTATTATTAATACATTGTTTATTATATTACGTGCACATGTGACAACAAAAAATCGTCTCATGTAAGCTAATTGAAAAATCGCCAGCTGAGTGAATTTTAAATTTGACTATTTGTATCATTAGCCGCGTTCACACGTAGCAAAAAATTCGGTATTTAGCGTTCACACGAGGCAAAATGCGCGGTTCAAGAAATACGGTATCTAAACAGATCCGGTATTTGTTGAAATACGCGGCTTCCCAGACCCCGAATAATTTGCCGTGCTTGAGAAATACAGGATCTCTTGGAGCGTGCATTTCCTCGTGTGAACGCTAAATACCGTATTTCTGAAGCCGCGTATTTTATAGACTGGTCCGCGCTCGACAGTTCCAGTGTAATGCGAGTCGAACTGTCGAGCGCGGACCATGATATGCAGTCTACGTATTTTATCGGCAGTTGGTGCGCATTGCATTGTTTGCTTGATTGTTATTAAAGCAGCTCGTAGCTCGCAAATACGGCATTTCTGGAGCCGCGAATCAGCGTGTGAATGCTTGGTCGCGTATTTGTCTCAGATTCGGTATTTCGCAAATACTGTATCGGGGTTCTCCAAGCTTTTTCATTATAGCATGGCGGGTGCTGCCTTTACGGTCCTAGTTGCAAATCGCCGAAGGCATTTTGTGTGTTAGGGGGGTCCGGGGGCTATGATATTTAGCATGGCGGCTATGATATTTAGAGGGGCGGGTGCATTTTAGGATGGCGGAGCTCGACGATAGCCTGGCGGGCCGCCAGGCTATAAGTGCTCTTGGAGAACCCTGCGTATTTCATAGATACGAGGTCTCGTGTGAACGAGGCTAATGTTTATAAAAACAAACTTAAACTTGGACTTGGACTTTTTTCTCAATAAATATGTGACTGGCCAGGAAGCTGTGCTAAAAAGATTCTATTACTAGTTAGTGGGATCATCTTATTGTTGCTTTACTAGTTATGTAATATTATTATGTAGTTTCAGAAAGATTGACTGAAATGGCACTGAAACGATGCACCGCAAATGTCGACAGTACAGTTGGAAAACATCAAGTCATGAGAGTAAGCTAGTTTCTGTGAAGTAAATTTTTGCACTATAATTATTGTGAACAGGAACCCTTTCTCAACGTTTAATATTGATCAAATTTTGTTAATGCAAAAAATATTTACCGAGTAAATTGTGTTATTGTTATATTCATTCTTACTAAATAAGTTGTGGCTCTTTGTGTCACACAAGTATATACATCGGAGATAATTGCGTTGGTAGCTATAATATGCTAGTATATTATAATAATATATGATTAACTGGTATATACGTCATGTATGGTAATTACGTAGCATAGTAAAACAGTTATGCAACTGATTAATCATTTTGTTCCAGGCTGCTGAAGAACCCGAGACTATGACCAAAGTGAAGTACAGTAATGCAAGAAAATTGTCGGTGGATCTTCCGGCCAAGCGTCGGCAGTCTATGGCAATGCACGGCCACGAAAAGAATGCAACTGTTGTAAACATTTCATCTTCTGTGGACATCATTGAATCTCACAATGTACCAGTCTCTCCCGGTGCCAGTAGAAGGGTATTGTATTTTTTTTTAACATTTTCTCCTAGAAAAATTGCTTTATTCTTATCGTTGACAATGACGTGGTTATACTCATTGACTATGTACAGTAATTTGAACCATCTAATATACAGTCTGACAGAGGTAACAATTAACTTTTTAACACGTGAGTCCAACGGACTCCCTACCCTCAAAAAGAGGGAGTCCGCAGTCTGAGGTTCAAAATTACAGATATTAACAATAACGCATGTGCTTGTTTTTAAGATTCATGCAGTTGCACGTCTGCCAAATTTTCTTGGGACATTAGCTGAAAAAATACGGTAATTCCGCGAGGCCGTGCTCCGGAACGAACTAGTCAGTATCGCAGAATTTTCAGGGAGTCACACGGACTCCTGCATATGTCCAATCAGGGAGTCCGACAGTAAATCAGGGAGTATTTGACTTCGGACTCCCGTTAATTTCGCACCCTGGTCTGACGTATAATACTATGCTCACTATATTATCTTGCAGCAGATCATAGCACTGATAACCAATATCCAGAGGTTTCTGCAAGGGAGAACAATTGATCCAGGCTGCATGTTCAGCCGCTTATGGAACAAGTACCTAGTCGTGCTGATTGTCTTCATTTTCATACTCTATTCCTACGTCGCCTGTTTCCCATCGTTTGATACTTCTGAGACGGTGTATGAGACAGTGCCAGGCAGGAAACTCCTGATCGTGACCTACTTCTTTGATTTGCTTCTCGTGCTGGATATCATAATCCAGTTGCGGACGGGTGTCGCGACTGCCAACGGTGTGTCTTTGTAGTTATTATATAAGTACAATACCCTGAATTACCAAGTGCATGTAATTAAGAAAATATGTCATATTCGATGCAAGACATTAATGCCAGCAATGTGTTGGTGCATTTTGGTAATATATATATATATTGTTGCTAATTAATGATGCATTTTAATCAGGTTTGTGTGTTTTGACCATCTTTTTATGTAGGCATTCTAGTGGACTTCGCATCTATCAAGAAGAACTACGTATTCAGCATGGCATTTGTCTTGGACATTCTTGCTGTCCTTCCCTTAGAAGTCATCTGCCTCGCAGTAGGTGACCAACACCGCTGGCATCTCTTATGTTTCCTCAGGTTAAACAGACTGCTGAAATTTAGAAAAGTGAGTATGTTTTGTTGTGACTACTATATAGTTGAGCATTTTGGCTTGTACTCAGTTGTCTGTGCAATAGTAAGCCAGAATTTGTCAAAGAACCTTCACAAAGTCATTCTTGTGATCCTTCATTAGTTTTAGCTGAAGTGCTACCAAAAATTACCCTGCTATCTATTTTCAGGTTATTGCCTACATCAGCAGTCTGGAGGATAAGCTAGATGTAGATATCAGCTCCGTTCGCACTAAAAAGTTTGCCATTTACATCCTATGTGCTACTCACTTTTGTGCATGCTTGCTGTACTTGGCTGCCAGCGCATATGGAGTGTAAGTACAATGCACCATTTATATTGTAATATTGTAGTAACTATATAAGCATGTGTTGCCTATAAGTGTGATTCACCAGAATCTAGTTGTATTTTCATTATGGTTGTTTGATCTTTTTTTAGTATAGATTCTTACCATTTAACTGCTTTACTTCATAGGCACAATAAGAGCAGCTGGCTTTTCATGCTTGACAAGAAGGCTCAAGTGCAGGCCGTTCCAGAAGAAGAACATCACGAGGAAGAAGAAGAAGAAGAAGAAGAAGAAGAAGAGATAGGTGGACCAAGAAATGATACTACCGTGTACATGTTGTCATTGTACTGGGCTGCAACTACAATGTCCAGCACTGGCTATGGAGATCTGTATGCCCTTACAACGCTTGGCCAGATTATTGCTTCTTTCGTCATGATTATTGGCTTGTTGTTGTATGGCTACATTCTGGCTGCCATTGCTGCTCTCAAGGCCAATGATGACTCTGCTCGGTTCGTATTATTTTGGAATTGTGTGTTAAGCATACAGGCACATATAAATTAGTACCTAGCATAGGTAATTTGTGATGCATCTTGACACGCTCTATAGATTTGAGTGAGGTTGGAAAACATTTTCAGCCCCAATCCCTTGAGCAATCACGTCCCTGATATGCTGATTTTGTAGACACAATATTGACTGTACTTTCGATGTAAAACAAAGGAGAATGGTATATAGAACATTTAATATTAATTTCATTTTGCAGAGTACAGTACCAGACTAAACTAATGGGAATGAAAGCATTTATGTTGGAAAACAATCTTCATGAAGACTTGCGTGTGCGTGTCGTTGAGTATATGAAGCTATTGTGGAGCAGATATAGGTGAGAAATCGGAGACAAATTATATTTTGTAATAAATATTTCTTTCAATTGTTTTGCTGAATTAATTGTCTTTTTTTGTTCATCATTTGACATGCACATGCCCAGGGCTGTAATCCTCTGTCATTTCGGTGTCTAACAAAACTATTGTAAGGGATGATATTATAGCAGAAGCCATGAATTTTTCTCATTTGTCTATTACATATTGCATGTTTGTTATTGTAGGGGTGAAGCAGAACCTGGTACGGCTCGTAACATCTTCAGGGATGTGCCTGTGGCACTACAACAAGACATTGCTATTGAGGATGCTGAAGCCCATTTATTAAAGGTCAAACATGTGACATTGCTGCTGTGCTGTTGAATATATGATACTTTATACAGCTAGTGATTTTATTAAAGAAACCTCGTGCACGAATTGTTCGGTGTTCAATTTGTTAGTTTATCTGTTGTAGTCGGTAAACGTGTGCATTTGTATGTCTAAACTAGAGTGACTAAACAGCTATATATCATTGCTGGCAATGATGGGGGCGCCACTACTAGCGCATCTACTTTCAAAGTTGCGCATCGTAACTTTTCGGCTGCAGGCTACAGACTGAGGGTGTTTCTTATTTATTAATTTAAGATGAGAAGAATTGCAATATCATATCAACAACTTCTAGATGCAGTTATAATATGGACGAATTTGCCCTAAAATAAAAAAAATCGTTTGGTTAAATAGCAGTTGGGTATAAATATATTAAACTTTTGTAATTAGCCCTCGGTCTGTAACGTGCACAAAAAAATCTGCAAAAGCGCAACTTTGTCAGGGTGGCAGCACAATCGCGGGGTGTCATGTCAGCGGCGAAAAAAAAAATTTCGAAACACTTGTTTTATGACGTGAATGCATGATTATAGAAATGTGTATAGGTATATACTATTATTTAAGCACTTACTATCATGATATACCCTAAAATTCTAAGGTGTAGTATTGTGTAGTAGGGTGTAGTAGCTTTGATGGTTCAATGGACCCAGTGAAACGATCAACGGTAACATGTGTGTATGTACATGTATTTAAAATTACATCCAGATATTATTTATTGCAATCCAGCTTCCCCTATTTCAAGAGATGGATGTGGGCTTTATGAGATTGTTAGCACAAAAGGCCCACTTGTATGCATTCAACCCTGGTGAGATAATCGTATATGCTGGAGACTTGGCCAGAGAGATGTACTGCGTGCGCAGAGGCTTGTGTGAGGTAAGTACTAGTTTTCATCTTGTCAGATATGGCCAGGTGAAGCTAGTTGAAGGGCAAAGGCTTATGTCTGTAGTGTAGGTGCATTTGCTAAGTGCTTGTTTTGCACAATTATATATGACTACATGAATACAATGTTTAGAATGCACGAAAGTGCCTAGGTGTGTTGTTTGGCATAACCTTGTTGAAAAAAGCTTGTGACTGCCTTTTCTACCATCATACAAAGTGTACCTGTCCCGTAACAGCAAGTTAAACGTTTGCCACAGCATATTACTGCATTTATTCGATATTGTTAGCCGTCAGGTGAAGTATTACACATTCATCTATGCACTAAACGATTATTCCGTGACTGCATTTATAGTTCCTGACGGATGATCTCAAGAAGTGCACGGCAACTATAAGCACTGGACAGTGTTTTGGGGAAATAGGAGTGTTGTTCGATGATTACTGCCCTGCCACTGTGCGGGCAAAGACATACGTAGAGTTGATAATGGTGCGTCGTCAAGAGCTCCACGAAGTGTGTCAGCAGTTCCCTGCGATTCAGTCCCAATTCACAAATGCCAGTCAGCACAAGGAGGTGCTGGAGAAAATCAAGAAGGAGGATAATAGGCGCAACAGAGATAGTCAAACTAGGGTGAACATTTAAATTGCTAATAACATAATTATATATGAATATTAATGGAAAATTAGCAGGTTATGTTAATTTTTGCTCTTCACCAACATTTTCTAAATGTTCTAATTTTGTATTCATGTGAAAGATTGGAGTTGGTAAAAGGTGATAAAGGCTTTTAAGAAACCTTCAAATTTTCTCTGTTTACATGTAGGTGCGCTCAGTGCTGGATATGGAGTCGAAGCCTGGCAGACGTGAGGAGGAGGATGTAGAAGTCACGGCTCATTTTAAATCTTCGTTCAAAGTTCACACCAAGTACCATCCTGATGGCACAGTCAATGAAGACTTCATGAAGCCATTCCGACGTGGGCCCGGGCGCTTTTTCGGCTTTATACTAATGAGGTATACGTGGACAAGATAATTAATGGTTCATCTGTTTAGAAGCATGCAATCTGGATATGTCAGCAGCACTCAGCAACCACGCCCCCCTTGGATATTATTGCTAGGTCGGTCAAACTGACCTGGTCTGTATGTGTACATGCATATGGTTGTTGCAAAAATGTTGCATTTGTGGCACCATTTTACTAAGCATTGTTTGTAAAGCATCCTATCATCACACTGATTGGCTAGAACTGCCTGTCAATCACACCCAGAGGGATAGGTTAATGAGGTGGAGACTGTACTGTGTGTGTGGCCCATGCGATACAGGAATGCTGTTGTTGTACTTTCTGAACAGAATCACACTACTACCAAATAGTAGGTTTGTGGTGGGGTGGGAGATGATGCGAGTCATCTTGGCTATGTTGAACACCTTCACCGTACCAATCCATGGCTCCCTGCTCATTGACAGCAACTTCCTCTGGTTCCTCAGCTATCTCATGGACGTCATAACCATCGTCGACATGTAATTACGTTGTTAATAAAGTGGAATGCTCGTCGTGCCAAGTAGAACGATGTTTTGTATTAGCGTTGCTTTCCTGCTTGTCACTGAGTAAAGGCTTCCTGACATTTCAGTAAAGTTTGATTGTTCAGAAAAGTCCTGCATTGTAATTAAAGAGCGTTACTTTTGGTGCAAAGCATGTAATTTCAATAAACAATGCTCGTTTTTTGCCTTTCCAGCACTATGCACTGAATATAACTTACAAGTTGTAATGTTTATTATTTCAGGTATGTCAAGCTTCATGTTTGCTACTTCGATGCAAATGACAGATTGATCACTCATCCTCTGCTGACAGCGAAACGATACATCAAGAGCAACTTATGGATTGACATTGTCACCATCTTCCCATTTGAGTTTCTAGCATATTCTCTTCACCCTGAACTTGATCTTAATGGTATGCACGTACTGACATTGTTCAGAATCAACAGACTGCTGCATTTCTACCGCCTGCCTCTTGCATTTGACTTCTTGGAATCAGGAGTAGAGTTCGACACGGTTATCGTCAGGTAATTGTTAGTAAGATTACCTGTGCAATATACAATGCCATCATAGCCAACTATATTGCTCCATGACTTAACTACACATATATTTCATGAATTGCGTATAGTAGGGTTTTATCATACGAAGTACATAGTATGTGTGCATTCATTCAATTAATTCATGTCTTTTAATTGGTTGAGCAAGGTAAATCTAATGTGTGATATATCCAATAAGTGATCCTACTTCAAAGACTCATTCCATCGACTCGTTCCTTCTTTGCATACGTTGTTGCATAACCTCTCCCATCTCTCTTACCTTGTTTCAGAGAGCTGAAATACCTCTTTTATGCCATCATTTCTATTAACTGGGTGACCTGCCTGCTTTTCAACTTTGCCTGCCCTCCGAATCCTGAGATGTTTGGTGGTCATACCGAAGGTATACAATCGTGTTCCTTTCCCTATTCACACTGTACTTCCTAGTAAACACCGCCTTCCTTTTTGATTGGTTATTAATGAACAGTTGTTGTTCACATGGGTATGCTAGGTCATGCACTAAATTGCGTGGTGAAGGATATTGACAGAAAAGAAATGTTTACATCTAATGGTTCCTTCGTTGAGTTTATTGTGATTATTTTCAGGCGAGGAAGAGGCGGAAGCTGGGAGTAGTTGCTCGCCTACATCATGGCTTGCCGGCATTAAGTTTACTGATGCTAGTGCGAATGTTTACACGCAATACGTGAACAGTTTGTATTGGGCCTGTGCAACGACCCTGTCTGTTGGCTATGGTGACATATTACCATTGAATCTCACTGAAGTTGGTCTATGCATCCTGCTTATGGTTGGAGGAGTGGTGTTCTTCGGTTACATTATTGCTAGCATTGCTGCTAGTCTGGCTAATGCAGAAACACAAAGAGCCTCTTATCTGGTGGAAATTTATGCTATGAAGCAGTACATGAAGGTGTGTATATCTCATTTAATTCTTATACTAATCTGATAGCAGTACGTCAGTAACCGTTTACTACTGCCACCTTGTTATAATTATTAGTAGTTTTTGGCAAATTTTCAGTAATTTCATGTATTTGAAACAGCTCAGCAAGTGCCACGCTAATGCTATGCTACTTTTTAGCACATTGTTTTTCACATCAGCTCATCTGATACAGTAGCATGTGTACAACATGCTGTGTGTTATCGGTAATTACATTAATTGATACTGCGATACAATCAATGTTAATAGAAAGTGTACATGAGTATGACCACGCAGGAAAGGGTAGCTCAAAAGCAGATCAAGGCTTGATCCGGGTCAGTTTACTTGAGCAACATTTTCTGAGATGCTCATTCGGATCAAGTCTCTACTGACCATGGTCAGTTAATACTGAGCCTGATTCTCTTGTGCAAGTTTTTTCTGATTCGGGATCTAGTGGTTCAAATCAGGGAAGGTTGATCACAATCAAGAAAAATGATCCTGATCATGCTAATCCTCCTTTGAACAATCGGGAAACAATCCAAGCTATATTGCTTAAAGGCTCACAATGCGCATCCAAACGCTAATTTCTCCAGTACTAAACTAGCAAATACTTCGTGTCATGCATAATCACACTACCTTATGACAAAATAAACTCTAGTTCCACCCATTCCACTGCGCGTTTGCTTAAAACCCACAAGAAAGAGGTGAGAAAACTGGCATTCTGGCGCAAACGCTAAATTGTTTGAAACAACTTAGCCTCACATGTTGCTACAGGGTGTTGAGCAAGGAATTGTTTGTCCCGGGTCTATTATATGTAGTCGTTTACATTTTAAGATAGTTGTAGTATTGTGAACTGCTGTATATGTAACATCAAAGACTATTAAGAAAGTATTTATAGGCAGCGTAATAAACGTGAAAATAACGTATTGATTTTAGGCTTGATATTGCTAACAGCGCGAACATTGCGCTAGCAGCGTGCAAGCGAAAAACGCACACGGGCCGTAGAAATCTTTGCTACACCCGCTGGACGGTTGCCTGGCAGAGCAATGCAAACGTGTCAACAACATCGGAGAATTTGAACAACAGTGGAGATATTTTCAAATACCTTTTATAAGTCAACGCGCAGTGAAATGGGAAGCACTAGAGTTTATTTTGTCATAAGGTAGTGTGATTATTCATGCCACGAAGTATTTGCTAGTCTAGTACTGTAGAAATTAGCGTTTGGATGCGCATTGTGAGGCTTTAAATAAGCACTGTTGCAAAATAGGACTTGATGTAACGATAAAAGAAGCCTAATCAGAAGTGTTTAAAATGCGCTAATTTGCACTTTTGTAGGATGAAGGTTTTGATCAGAGCCTGCAGAGCAGAGTGATTGATCACTTCCAATACTTGTGGATTCGCACAAAGGGTATAGATCCAACGACTTTGTTTGAAGGGTTGCCCATGTCCCTCCTTGGTGATGTCTCTCTGTCACTCTACAATGAGTTTATTAACAAGGTAAATATTGGTGTGATGTTTAAGATGACAGTACACTTTAAATTGTTTTGCAGTTTAGTGTTCGTGGTCTGGGTAATTAATCCTTGCTATGATCGCTGTTATTTTGTTATGCATTTTTGCCATCTATGTTAATAACATATAAACTTATTGTATGTATAGGTTCCAGAGTTCAAAGGCACAGATATTGGTTTCTGCAAAATGATTGCCATGTGCATGAAGCCCATGTATATCCGGAAGGGAGAATACCTTGTCAGAAAGCATGATATTGGAAACGAGGTACAATTAATATATTATATTTCATTAGGAATCAGTATAATGTATGGCCTTGCTTCATATATTTATAAAAACGAGGACGTTTTACTCACGTGAATGATGCTAACTTTTTGCTAACCACCTGTCACGATAGTTTTGACACTGCAATTAGTAATGTAATAAAGTAGGAGTTCCGGAATGCACAGCAGAAAACTGCATCTGGGGCTTGCAACTGAAACCATGTCGCTTTGTTTGTTATTAATCCGTGTTCAGCTGCATATCCCGAACACAATACCACTTATCTTTATTTCTTGTAAAAAATGGGAATTTCTTCTTCGTTAGTAAAGTTATTGTTAGTAGCAAAGAGTCTGAAGTCAACAAATCACACTTGCATAGCACACAGCCAAACTCCATGTGGCTGTCATGTTGTGGCACCGTTTTACTCACCATTTTAGGATGATGGTTGACTCTAATTGTGATGTAATAAAAACATTTCTAACACATTGTTTTTCAGATGTTCTTTATTCGTCGTGGGCTTGTTTCTGTCGTATCGGAAGATAATTCTCGAATATTTGACACTATGACAAGTGGTCAATTCTTTGGAGAAGTAGGCATTCTGTATGGCACACCACGAAATGCTTCCATCAGGTAATTCAAATTGTCTATTGCGGTCACAGGCAAGACGTAATGTCAGCCAAAGAAATCATAAAAATCATTCTGATTTTCAATAAGTTTGTTAGAAGTTTATGTTCATAGCATTTCGTTATTTCTTTTGCAGAGCTGAGACCAACTGCGACCTATTCGTGCTAAGCAAGGCATCCCTAGATGATGTCTTGGCACAGTATCCTGAAGTGAAGAAACAAGTGTACAAGACAGCAGAAGACAGGCGGGAGGCTGCCAGGCAGAGAAGTGTTATGGCTGTCAGGGGAGAAAGTATTCCAACCAAGGTATGCACAGTATTTGATAACACTATCAAGCAATTAATTTTGTTTTCTTGGCTTGCCTGACATTGATTTCTCTCTTGATGGTAATAGTAGCAGCAGTTCCAAGTGCACCTTCGTAGGAGCACTGTCACACTGTGGCGTTTGTTCGTATTATCCTCATAGGCTTTGAATTATAACATTTTTGTAATTAATATGAGAACTCGATAATTAATATGATTGAGCAGCTAAATAGTTGCTAGTGTTTTGTTTGTAGCTTTACTGAGCTTTACTATTTAGCTACTCACTGTAGAACTTGTACCAACATCACATGCAGAGGATATTAATTGTCTTGTTGACCTTTTTAATTACTTTTATGGTTAATTGTTGATTTAAAATAATTTTAATTAAACATTACTAAATATTATCATATGAACTGTAACATGTATCATTTTACTTTATTTGTGTAGGAGTTACCCATAGTGACCACCGGGGGTGTTCAAGGTAAATTCTAGCTATGACATTCATGATCAGTTAAGCAGTGTTCGAAATAAGGGCTATCCGTTTTAGTCCTCACTTGTCCATTTCCATGGAGGACAAGTAGACCTGCCCAGTAGCTTGTCCGCTGGACAAACAGCTTTTTAGAGCAATTTTTCATCATTTTCTACCATCGCTTCAACTTTGTTAAGACAAGTAATAACTTAAATTAAATCATTGTGTTCTTTCAAGTTTGGTGCCTAATTTGAGCTGTTAGTGAACTGTATTAAAATTTCAAAGTAAGATATTGGGTCTAAAGTTTAATTTGATTAAATGTATTACACATTTACTATATTTCTATGTTAATAATCAGGACAAGCAAAAATCTCGTGTAGCTTGTCTGTCAGACAACCAACATTTTTTCCTTATTTCGAACACTGTTAAGGATATACTCGAGCTTTTGCCCAGGTTTTGCTCTAATGAAGAGTACCCGTTTATTGACCAATGAGTCTAATCAAACACTTTATTTATAGATGATATTTATCTCTATGTTCAAGCCAGGAAATTTCAGGAAATTTCCAGCACTTAATTATTATTAACACTTCCTCACATAATTATGTGACAACACATTTTGAATTTTTATGTAAAAATTGGTATTTTGGATATTTCTCAATAATCCAGTACAATGCCCACTACCCTACCATACTTGCATTAAGGGGTTTCAAATGAAAATTTTGCATTTTAACAGACGTTAGCAGAAACATTCCAGCTGATAACCAGGGTCTGTTCAGAAGGGTGATACATTATAACAGTGCACTAGCAATCTGGACAAATTATGCTGACTGTGTGGCATCACTACTGAGCTGCATACTCATCTCTTACCAGGTACTCATATCATTGATATTTCTCATTTTGAAGTATGTCATTTTATTTTTTGTTATTATAAATTTCTCAGATAGGAGTAGTAAATGTTCTTTGTTTATGTTTATAGTGTTAGCAGTGAATAAAGTGAAGAGCAGTTTGCTAAATATTTTGGAAAATATGACAAAAAGTATTATGGAATATTTATTTTGCTATTCCTGGTTCTATAGGCTTCATACGATGATCAGTCAACTGGAATCTACGTTATTGGCTACCTGTTTGAAATTGTAATTTTGTTCAAGGTATGTATACATTAAGTCGGTGTACTGATAATAAACAATTTATATAATGAGAAATTAAAATGAAGAATTTACAGGCCATTAGAACTATTTGAGCAAAGTGCATGCAGCACTATTGATAAAGCTGCATTTAGAGAAAACTGACCGATATTCAGTAGACAGCATTTCATCAGGATCTGCACTTCTCACGCTGTACAGCAAATTTTAATGCACCATACGCAAATAGTACTTTGTCAGTATAACTGCTAAACCAGGAAAACTTTATACGCATAGGTGTTCCTGAAATTCCGCACTAGCTACCTGAATAAACATGGAGAAGAAGAACTCGACTTTGATGTTCTGTACAAGAACTATCTCTACAACCCACGTGGGTTCGCATATGATGCTCTGGCTTTCCTGCCATTAGACATCTTTGCAGCAGCGGGTGGCGCAGGAGAGAAACTAACATTGCTTTCCAAGCTCCGCATTATTCATCTGCTGCGCATACCTCGTATCTTGCAGCACTTTTCAAATTGGGAGGAAGAGCTGCAGACCAAGTATGTGTATATAAAAAAAACGTTATCAACGGGACAGCCAATGAAGATACCTCTTGTCATAATCTAAGTGCAATAATAAGTGCCAACCAAGATGGTCATTCAGATCTTTCAAAACAATTAATTAAAGTCTAGACTGTGGTCCTTTAAACAATAAATAGTGATATAACAGTGTAAAAACAGGCATGTGGTCTCAAGCCCTGCTGAACATTTAGCAGAATTTAAGCAACATTATGTAATGAAGTGTTACATAGTATCTGGTCAGGATGAAAAGCATGGTTTTTCTTTGTAGCATTCTGTTGGTGCGACTTGGCAAGTTTACCACACTGCTAGGACTAATGATTCATCACTTTTCCTGCTGTTGGTATGTCATAGCTTGTGTCTCTGGAGATTGTGGTGAAGAAAACAACTGGGTCACTAACTATGATGGTAAGCATCCAAGAACCCACTTTTTTTATCAAAAGTATCTATGCAATCAACCCATTTTTCATGTTTATGTTATATTCTGTTCAGTCTTAAGGCCGAAACTTTGCAGTGTTAATGATCGATCGTAATTTTCGTCAACAAATACAAACAGTTAAAGTTGCTCTGTAGTAGTGCCAAATAATTAATTATTACATACGTACATCTTTTAAAAGTTCTTCAGATGACACCACTGTCCCGCTATGTCTCATCACTATACTGGTGTGTTGCCTCGATGACTTCTACGGGCTATGGAGATGTCCATGCTTACACCATTAAAGAAATGTGTAAGCTATCTAGTCATGGATTTTCGTTTGATTGCTAAGATGTGATGTGATGTCTTATATGGTATGAGGCACTTTCATTATTAATTCAATTGTATATTGACATTATTTCATGTGAACACCAGATGTCTGCTCATGTATAACTTATGATATTGCTGTTATTTTCAGTGTACTCCAGCTTAGTGATGGTTGTAGGGAAGTTGAGTTTCGGATTTGTGTTGGGGAATATTGCTTCAACACTGGCAAATCAGGATCGTCAGCAAATTCTCTATGATGACAAGATTGCTGTTGTTAAGGTTCGAAAAAAATTCGTTTTTATATAACAGTTTTGTAAGACTTGAATTTCTTATCAACATATAACGATAACATGGTTCACATGGTCTTATTATAGTAAAAAGAGTTCAACTCAAAATATTTTTATTATACACATCAGTTAGGTACATGCAGCACTGCAAATTTGAATTTAATGTGTTTTTTATAGACCTTCATGAAGAGCCAACTTCTCCCCGGCGCTTTGCGGCATAGAGTGATGGCTTACTTTAGTCTCCTGTGGAACTACAACAAGGGTGTCAGTGTGAAGCGCATCATTGCAGGCCTTCCATATTGCATGCGTGGAGAAATCATGATGAAGCTTGGTGGCCCGATGCTTAAAAAAGTACAGTATTTAGCACTTGCATTGACTATATACATTTTACATTATTCCTCCAACATGTCCAATTGTTTATCTTTGTGAAGGAAATAGAGGGTAATGAAATGGGTTCCTTCAGGGTGCAATAATGTCTCATTAGATATTTTTTTAATATATACATAATTAATTATTATAATGATTATACAATAAATTAATAATAATGTGTGGTGAAGTGCATCTGCACAAATGCTTTCTATTTGTGTTACGGATACACAAGGTTTTATGTGAAATTTCATAGATTTTTAGCTCATCTGCCATAGTCAGATGCAGCTTGTAGAATCGCATGATTGTCCGTGCGACCATCCGGCTGTCCGGCCGTGCGTGCGTCAACAGTTGGGCACAAAGCTTAACCACTCGACGTACGGTCACGATATTTGGGAGGGGGGGGGGAATCGTGAAAAGGACTCCGGATGACAAATTTGGGGGTCAAGGGTCAAAGGTCCCGATGCGTAAACGGAGGGGGAATATTTCCCCCTTAACTTAAGGTATAGGAAGAAATACGGAATTGCGGCACAAATCTTAACGGCTCGACCTATGCTCTTAATATTCGGTGTATAGTATGATGGGCAGGAAACCCATCACCAGTGCGAAATTGGAGGTCACAGGTCAAAGTGCAATGGGGGAAAGGTCAGATATCAGACATTTTCTTAGGACATGGCCTAATGGACACAGTGAAAAACTTTTTTGTTTCAGCGCCGACCTACCACTTATTATCACTTTATTGAAAGGACCATGAAATGTGCTTTCCACTGACGTGCGAAGAGTAAGTGTCTGATAACCTTTTGACCCTCAAAAGGAGGGTTAAACATGGATTCCTGAACTGCCTCAATGATGTCACAGTGTTCTCATATTCATGGCACATCCATAATCTAAAAAGCCAATAAGCCTGGATAGCCGAACGGGTACAGCACAGGCGTCATGGCTCAAAGGTCCTTGGATCGAATCCCATCAGATTTTTTATTATTTACCTGTTTTGTGTATTTTTCTATCTTTATCCATTTAACTATTTTTTTCCAATTAACGCAAATATTTACATGATTTATTTACAACAATTTAATAACAACAATTAATATTTATTTTATTTTTTTAATAGGGTTAGGGTTAGAGTCACAATGCACCATAAAACAGGAGTTTCAGGCACGCGATTTGTATTAACCAATGGTATTTGGGAGGTATGCAGAATGCAGAAGGTTGCTGAAATGATGTGTACGCAACTGCGTATCTGCATATCTGCGCCTAACAAAGGTGTCACTACGCACGACTTAAATGTTACATTTATAACCGTAGCAACAGACCTCAGATGAGCCCAGACGCTCTGCGGCTCTTGTTCATTTTCATTCTTATTCGATGGCCAAGATTTGGTGTCACCTCTGTACGTGCCTTTTTCACCGTATAACTATGCATGTGAATTTTCGGAGCAGTTTGATTGCCATTTCATACTCCTTGTGGTAATTGATAAATATCCACAATGCCATTTTTACATAAAAACTCAAACTTTGTGTTGTCACACAATTAGGTGTTTTTTTTCACACAGCAAATGTTTACTCTGTTATGTTATGTTACTATCATTAGAGCAATACACGTGAAAAGCTTGAGTGTATCCTTAAAAATGGTTTCATTTTAACAGGTGAAGCTGTTCCGCAATGTAGATGACAGCTTCTTCCGAATGCTATCTCTCAAGCTGACTCACGTTCCATTCATGCCAGGGCAGTACATTTTACACAAGGGCGACATGGGCCAGGAAATGTACTTTGTTCATCGAGGACAGGTAAGCATGCTCAATACTCAAGTCGGCTATGAGCGATTGGCAGAATTTATGCACTTTCCCCTAATTACCTCCGCCCAACGGAGTTGGAGGAGGTTATGTGATTGCTCTTGTGTGTTCGTGTGTTCGTGTGTTAGTGTGTTAGTGTGTTCGCGCGATCGATGTTAGCGCGTCACCTAGCGAGCCAGCGAGCCAGCCAGCGCAGCGAGCCAGCGAGCCAGCCAGCACAGCGAGCCAGCGAGCGTGTACATGTGAGCGAGCAGCAGCAATGAGCGGCTGCTACGAGCGAGCGAGCAGCAAGCCAGCAAGCCAGCTTGTACATGTTGTATGTTGTGTGGTTGTTGTAATGTGTGTTGTGTGGTTGTGTAAGTATGTCGCTGGCGGAGGTATGCACTCTCCGTGAGTGCACTCTGTCTAGTTGCTTTAGTGATTCGAATTGTATTGTAGCTACCGTGCGGCAGCAGAATGGTGTACATTTTCCACGTGTCTTACAGGTGGCTATCGTGCCTGACGAAAATGAACCGCAAAAGACTGTGGCAGTGTTGCAACCAGGGGACCACTTCGGTGAGCTGTGCATAGTCTACCATGCTGCTAGACGAATGTCCGTCCGTGCTGAGACAAATGTAGAACTCTTCATTCTCACTCAGGAAGATGTTGTTGATGTATTCAGGTATTTTATTGCTTGCTTATTATTAAATTGTCAGAAGCTATATATTCAGTGTGATGTAATTAAACTTGCACCCGGGCTCGCCACCCTGAAACGCATTTGTTGAGCTGTTTTTTTCCATGACATTTCCTAGATATAAAGAGTCGGATGTGCCAGACATCGTTCTTCTGAAATATTGCAAATCTTGGGAGTCGGGACAGTAAACTGCATTGACATCATTGTGGTGTTAATGTCATGAAGAAAAAGCTGCATTTTATATCTAAAAATTTCACATCCGTATTTGCATGCATTGGGTAATCTGTTAGCCTTAAATCTAATTTTACCTAATCTTGGAAAGGCTGGTAGTCATCACGCTTGAGTGTTCTCTTATTGGGTTTTCAGATTTTTCCCACTGGTGGCACAGCAAGTTAAACAAATTGGCGAAGAAGAGTTTGGCAGTCACGTAAAAGGCAGCACTCAGAAATAGTGTGCTTAAAAGCAGGCAAATTGGGTAGTGATATAAACTAAGTTATATAGGTTTCTATATAAAATTCAAGTGATCACTGCAAGTAGATCGCCTGTGGCTTCGTTGTGGTACAATTCATGTACAATTACACAAAGGCGTTATTTCATTCCATTCTATTCATGCCTGTTTGATGCACCAAACCTATTGGCCAGTATAGCATTATTGCCTTTCATTTTAAAATCTTCACATAGAATAAGTGTGTGCATAAATTTACAGATAATTCTTGTACTTAGGAAGCACTTAGGATTGGTATGGAGCGGTATATTTACCATGTAGAGGGGACACAACACAGGCAATATTTTTAGATGTAGGCCCCCATAAATCTGTTACATTCCCATTCAAAGACTCACTTGACAAATTTATGCTCGTTTGCATTGTCAGAAGTATTTCATTCTGTATTATCTTTTCCTCGCTTGATAGGTAAATGATGAAATTACCAGAGTTTATTGTTAATTATTGTAATTTAAATGTTTTCTAAAAAAAAATCCCCCATAGGGAATAAAAGTAGCAAGTTGTATTAATACTTCTCAATTTACTGTTTTATACTTTCACATTTTGTCTTTGTTTTTTTTTCTGTTAAATGTTATATGCTGATAAAGCAAATCCTGCAACATACGGTAAACACTCGCATAAAAGAATTCGTGATTTCAAGAACCTCCAGGCTGAAATTGGACCAATAAAGCACCTATTATATAAGAACCTCTTCAGCCTGATAAATTAAACAGGTTCTTACATGAAAAAATACCGAAAATTAGAGCAAACTGGGGCAATCCAAGTATGTGTGCTACACCATTGGAAACTAACAACATGTAGTTCCAGATAATATTAATACCTCCTCACAGGAGGATTGGATTTTCTAGGGGGTATTTTGCCTCATTTTCTAGTAAATGTTGGGGTTTGATTTTGACGATACAGAGGATTGAGGGGGAGGATGGTGTGAATATTTTCTGAAACTATACAATATTGTATAGTACGATAATGTACACAATATCCCCCCCCCCCAATTAAGAACCTCTTTAAGAACCTTTTCAGGCTGATTTCTCACTATGTACCATATATATAAGAACCACTTTCACGGGTTCTTTTATGCGGGTGTTTACTGTATTCTTTAATTTATGTCTATGCTTTTGATATTAGGGGTTATTCACAATTATCAACATTACCACAAGTATACAGCTAGGGTAAGTTTCAATACAGTTTATATATATATACATACACACACGTCACACGCACGCACGCGCACACACACACACACGCATAAATGCACGCACACATACACACACTTGCACTACATATATACACAAACACGCACGCATAGAAACGTGCACAAACACGCACGCATAGAAACGCACAAACACGCACGCACGCACGTATAGAAACGCACAAATGCGCACGCATAGAAACGCATACAAACACGCACGCACGCATAGAAACGCATACAAACACGCGCGCACGCATAGAAACGCACACAAACACGCACGCACGCATAGAAACGCACACAAACACGCACGCACGCATAGAAACGCACACAAACACGCACGCACTCATAGAAACGCACACAAATACATCTCTCCCCTCCCACATCAACCAACCATTTGGCATGAAGATATATTTTCATTTGCAGTTGTGCATTGTATTTCTCAAAACACAAAAGCCGAACACAATGATCCCCTCCGAACACAGTGTACAGCTTTTATGCTTGTAATGAGAATAATATAATTTTATAATTGTGAGTACACTAGATGTTTTATAATATATATATATATATATATATATATAACTATATTATACTATACTATATTACATGCCACACACACGCACGCACGCACACACACACCACACACGTACACACGCTGTATTTGCACGCACACATTACACACACTTGCACTACAATATACACATGCCACACAAACACGCACGCCCGCATAAAACCGCGCCACGAAACGCACGCCAAAGAAACGCGCACAAACACGCACGCATAGAAACGCGCACACACACGCACGCATAGAAACGCGCACAAACGCACGCCACGCATAGAAACGCGCACAACACACGCACCGCATAGAAACGGCCCACAAACACCCACGCATAGAAACGCGCACAAACACGCACGCATAGAAACGCACACAAACACGCCACGCATAGAACGCACACAAACACGCACGCATAGAAACGCGCACACACACGCACGCATAGAAACGCGCACAAACACGCACGCATAGAAACGCGCACAAACGCGCACGCACGCAGGCATAAAGACGCACACAAACACGCCACGCACGCACGCACGCATAGAGACGCACACATCACGCACGCACGCACGCATAGAACGCGCACACAAACACGCGCGCACGCACGCATAGAAACGCACAAATACGCACGCGCGCACGCATAGAAACGCACACAAACGCACGCACGATATAAAACGCACACAAACACGCACGCACGCACGCGCTCATAGAAACGCACACAAATGCGCACGAACGCATAGAAACGCACACAAACACGCATAGAAACGCACACAAACACGCATAGAAACGCACACAAACACGCACGCACGCATAGAAACGCACACAAACACGCACGCACGCATAGAAACAGCACAACAAACACGCACGCACGCATAGAACGCACACAAACACGCACGCACGCATAGAACGACACAACACGCACGCACGCAAGAACGCACACAAACACGCACGCACGCATAGAAACGCCACAAACCACGCACGCACTCATAGAAACGCACACAAACACATCTCTCCCACCTCCCGCACGCGCGCACGCACGCAACGCACACGCGCACTCACGCCGCCGCCCACACGCACTCACACACGCCACGCGCGCGCGCACGCACACACACACACACTCGCTGTGTGTGTCACTGTTGGCATTCACATACAAAATAAACTTACAATTTATCATCAATTTTTATATAGTACTATTATACATATAGTAATCTGTCACATTGCATATGTAAAATGACAATAATCAAGACGAAAACAATATAAAGAATAAGAACACGGATAAAGAATAATAAAAACTGGTACAGTTATAACGTTATAGTATTTTTACTGTAACTAGATAGTTCAACTAAACAATGTGATCTTTTGCATTCCTGGATCTGCTCGAGTCCTTGTTTAAATCCTGTAACCCATAAAAAGTACACCTATTTGCTCAGTCTCCCACCCCTCCTTCTCAACAAGATAATTATGGATGTTTTCTTCTGTCTGTACTGCACGGCTGAAACGGCGCTAGCGGATGCGCAATATCTCCCGAGAAGAATCCTACTTTACGAAAATTATAGAGAGGAGCTATTCTAGCATAGATTTATATGATAACATTTTATCAGTAGACCTGTTTAAGAAATAGGAAGAAGGCCTTGTATGTAAAGGTGTCCGCCTGCATATACCAGTCAGCTACTCAATCTGGCCTACGTTAGTGTGTTAGCCGCATGCGCCCATATCTCACAATTGGAGATATATTTTGTTTACGAATATGCATTTATATGGTTAGGAGAGTATTTCACAGCCCATAGGTTTATGTAATAAACTGTTATCAGTAGACCTGTGTGTTTAAGTAGGAGAGCGCCTATAGCCAGCGATAGGGGCAAAACTCCTACTTCATCCACATCCCGTCCCTTCCCCTTGCCTCCATTGTCCTTCGCGCTCAGCCCATTCTTCTTTTACCGTCCCTCAGCTATCTTTCCTGCCGCGTTTCTTCCGTTTCCCACCCTCTCTCACTCAGCAAGCTATGTTATACAGTTTCTTCCAGTCGCGTACTACACGCCTGAAACGGTGCTTCACTGCATGCGCAATATTCACCGCATAAAAAATATTGTGCCAAAAATTTGCATTTGAGAATGGAGAGGAGGTATTTCTGCATAGATTTATATAGCATCAATATTTTATCAGTATGACCTCTGTTAAGAAATAGCGAAAAATCTTGAATGGTAGGTCCGCTGCATGTATTATACCAGATCAGTACTGAATCTCGGAACTACTTTGTGCTGTTAGCGTATGTGCATATCCTCACGTAGAGACAGCTTATATTTTTGTGTATGAATATAAAATTTAATATGCGTTAGGGGTATCTCAGCATAGATTTATGCAATAACTATTATCAGTAGACCTGTGTCATAATTTAGGAGAGCGCCCATACTTGGTAGGACTGCAATCGCTACTTCATTCTCTCGTCCATCCACCTTGCTCCTTGTCTTCGCTCAGCCCTCTTCTTCTTCTACCGCTTCAGCTATCTCCTGCACCGCCTTCCTCAGTACTGCCCACCTCTCTCCTCTCCCACAGCAAGGATTATTATGCAGTTTTCGCTCAGATACTGTAATTGTCATCCTGAAACGCAAAAACACCTCATCTACTACCACTCATCTCCGTCCTTCACTTGTCCCTGTCATTCGCTACAGCCTCCTTCGTCTACTACCGCCCTCGCCTAAACGTATATTCAGAACAATCTCGTGTAATTTTGCACGATCTATTTATAATTACATCAATCACATCAATTTTAGACCATTCTGTAACTTTTCAACGAACTGCGATCTACGCTACAGCCAAGATAAGCCATCACAAATCATATATCAGCTGAAGAAAATAAATGTAGGTAAACCAAAACGTGATTAAAGTGTCTGATGAATACCGTGATATTGTAAATTTATATTCATGTGTTGTCCATTGACTTCGGCTTACTCATTCTAGTTCATATACTTCATGATCCAGTCATACAAGACAGAGACTCGAGCGTAAACACCAGCGTAGCCTGGACGCGCACAGCCCCTGCCCCAGGAAACCACACCAATCTGCTGCCCTCCGTTCTTGGAAATCATTGGTCCGCCGGAGTCACCCTGAACATTGAAATCCAAAAAACGTATAAGTAACGTCGACTAAAGAATTCATTGCAACAACCAGGGAAAATAAATGAAACGTGCGAAAATGTGAATAAAAAACAATTGCAGCATATATCACTATAGTATAACCTATATTGTATATCCTGCTAAATTCATGAGAAGATGTACCTGGCAGGCGTCTTTGCCACCGTGTGGGTATCCCGCACATAGCATGTCGTCGGTAATATTAGATTGTCCGTAGGCCTACTGTTCCCTGCACACTTCGTTGGTGATCACGGGTACTTACACAGTCTGGAGGGTGTTGGATTGCCTTCCACCTAAGATATAACGAAATCATCCATTTCATGTTGAAGAAGAATGAACGCGGGTTGGGGTAGCAAAGAGAATTTGGATGTGTGTGCGTGCGCGTGCGTGCGTGCGTACGTACATGGGTGCGCCAAAGCGTGTGTGCATGTAAGTATGTGCTTTCGGATATGAGCGTACGTACGTGTGTTTCTGTCTCGGTCTAAAGGGAGACTTCTTAGTGAGCATATTTTATCATAACGCAAAACTTTATTGATTAAAGGGCACATGTTTTTAAATAACTGAATAGTTCCTATTAAATACTTCCTTCTGCGACATGCAATAATGAATACGTCTTCTCTGACTGCTGTTTCTGTATGAGCATAACATGTTGATGCGTTCTTGCGATACGTTACCTTTTCGGATGGAACACCAACCAGAAATAATGGCGTCTTTTCCGGCGTAACTTCCGCTGTTTGTTGCCGCCAAACCTATGGGACTGGCGGTTTCAGAATATGAAATGGTGGATCTCAGAATCATGGTACTGACTGGGTAGCGACGTCGTGACTAAAATCACTGTTGTAATTAGCGTGGACGTAAATCTTGCTCACCTATTTATATAAGTTATACAAGTATTCCTATTTAAGTACGCTCCTCGTCTTTATATCAAAATACACAGGATTTAGGATAGATAAATTACAAACGTTTTTAATGTTTGGTTATTGCAGTATATATTACTGAAGGAAAAGTTCTCATATGTCGTAGGGTTTCATGTTAAGTTCTGTAGTAGACGCGCCGCTCACACAGAGCACTCTTTGTTCAGAGCAGGATTGCATCCGACTATAACCATGGCAAATTCTGAACAAAATCACAGGTCATACGTGTAGCGATATAATTACACTGGGTATCAGCGTATGTGCATTTCTCACTCCTGACGTCTTTCCATCACTTAGCTTATGGTGACACCATTTTGATAGAGAATTAGAAGCTGTGCAATCTGTAATTCAAACAATCAATAAAATCGTCATGACACTGTCGCTGGTTCATACACAATTTTACGTAGTTTTGAATTCATCTTTCTCTCTCTATCGCTATCTCTCTCTCTCTCTCTCTCTCTC